GTATCCGGTCTGCAGTCTGCTGTCTGCATTTTTTACTAACAGGTATCCGTGACACCAATACAGTTTATTTTTGGTTACATTTATTCGCAAAACACACATAATCTACCACAAAATACCTGTGTGTGAGGTAATTCGACATTTTCGTTCTTTCCCACATTAATATTCTTCTCTCCTTTTGTAAGAATGTAGACATCACTTACAATGTTTCAAGTAATCCACCCACCCTAAAAAAGGTATCTCTTGCATGCATAGCATGCCTATGTTTTGAAATAGGTGTATGCCCTTGGCCAGACTTGAGCGTACTATTTCAGTATACTAGTCCGACACCCGTAGTATCACTACACTTAATTCCAAGGATCCAGTACCATCCAGGTATCCCAGTTACCCAGCTCACAGGGTCAAGTTGGCCATAAAACTCTTTTGTCAGTCGTTTTGTATTTCGATGTGTATGGATTACGATCATCTGGAGCATTATGGCGCAAACGCTCAAAATACTTATAGACGCATACACAAGTCGTATTGTTCGCGGCCAATCCACACAAAAAGATGTTATTGAGCGGTAATTTTGGAACGGACTGAATCGTGAACGCTTGAAAGCCATGAAAGCATTGAATGCCTTGTATGTCTTGTATGCTAAGTAGTATGTCTTGTATGCCAATGTCTTAGTTGAAAACGTTAACTCGTTGTAAAAAGCAAAATCTGAAATCTGAAACCAAACTGCATATACTTTATGCAATCTATTGAACAACACTACTACCGTGAGACTGAAGAACATAACTATAGTGGATGCAAACTGCTTGTGAAGAAAGACGACATGTTGGATTCACTTGATGGCGAGGAACGTAGCTACGATAACAGTACGAATGGTATTAATTTCACGATCAGAAAGGTGAATCTTATGTTTGTTTTCATTGTAGTTATATGGATATTCTTTTTCAATAAAAAAGTGATCAAAAACCCTGTGTTTTTTTGTGTATAATGTTATTATGTTAAATATTGTTTACGCAATTGTCTTGTCACAGGCGGCCCAAGCTCACGTCTCGAGAAAAAGCCAGCGATTAATTTATGAACGCGTCACGTGACTCGGTGTTAAGTTACGAGAGGAACTGTTGGAAATTTGAACACGTTATAAGGAATATTATAGGGAACGAAGTATGGTCGATTTACAACGATAAATATTTCGAAATATGAACATTTTTCTCGTAAAATCAATAAAACTTACTCATAGCCTGTGTATCCGTTGTATTTTCTGGCGATTTCTGCCGTTTTAAGCTTGCTTTACCATCACTGTTATTCACGTCATTTACTTTTATTACATTGGTAAAATCTGTACAGACATCACACCAACCAACTCGCGCGCAAAGTAAGAAGACTATATTGAAGGCTTGAAATAATATTGCAATCGATTTTCACCAAGGAATGGGCCAGGAATATTCCACAATAGTGCAAATAGTCGTGAAGGGGGATCGCAGAAAAGCGATTGCGTGACGCGCGGTAAGCTGTAAGATGACATGTTATTATATACCAGACGTAAAAACTCTTCAGATTCTTAGTCTGCATTTTGTACCCACTCTGCAGTCTGCAGTCTATATTTTATATCCGGTCTGCAGTCTGCTGTCCGCATTTTGTACTAACAGGTATCCGTGGCACCAATACAGTTTATTTTTGGTTACATTTTTTCGCAAAACACACATAATCTACCACAAAATACCTGTGTGTGAGGGAAATTCGACATTTTCATTCTTTCCCGCGTTGATAATCTTCTTTCCTTTTGTAAGAATGTAGACCACTTACAATGTTTCAAGTAATCCACCCACCCTACAAAAAATAACTCTTGCATGTATAGCATGCCTATGTTTTGAGACAGGTGTATGCCCTTGGCCAGACTTGAGCTCACTATTTCAGTATACTAGTCCGACACGCGTAGTATCACTACACTTGATTCCACGGATCCAGTACCATCCAGGTATCCCAGTTACCCTGCTCACAGGGTCTAGTTTAAAGTTAAAAAAGGTGTTTAATCACCCATATTGCATTGATGCATCTTCCTTTTTATATGCTTCCATTTGCCAGCTAATGAATAATTATGACCGTTTTTACAAACGTCAAAATATCATTCTTGTTGCGCATATCTTTTGTTTTAGAATTTTTGATTGCTTCTTTTCGTTCTTCATCAGTTGTATATTTTGATCGAGAGTAGCATTTAAAAATTCTTTTAACAACAGGTGACCCAAAGGTATCTCGCAAATCTTCAAGAGTAGCCTTAGCTTCCTCAACTTTGTTGTCATTTAGTAGTTCGATGTTGATAGTGGTTTGAATACAACTTCATTCAACAGCCAGCAAGTAACCGGACCTTGCCGTTCACAAAGGCTACCTTTTGGTAATAAAATCCATCAATGATTGCCACGTCAACATCTTTTTCATAACCGGTGTCACACGTCTCTTCCATATCTATGTCATCGAACAAATCAGATATACCAGTTTCACTGGCAGCCATTTTAAAGTTAAACTGAATTATCAAGCACAAAATTTCGTCCTTTAGACACCATCCTGTTATACGACAATCAATTGATTTGAAATCAACGGCAATTTATGACTTATTTCCTCGGGAAAGTCCCTGTTGTAATGCATGATTGATTTCCTGTTTTTCTGAGAATGTCATGCAATGGAAAATGCTGTGAGATCATATGACTAAAGAAAGTCCTGATTTAACAAGCGGTTAAAGCGAACGAAGTCGAACGGCTTTTTTTTCTGACGGGGGTGTAACAGCAAAATGTATTGTGTTGTGCTATCATGGCAAAAATCCAACAGTCGTCAATCACAAATGTGAACATATGTCGAAATACGAGCAGTTTTTGTAATAATATAGCAGACTAGTCATATGATCTCACAGCATTTTCCATTGCATGACATTCTCAGAAAATGCATTACAACAGGGACTTTCCCGAGGAAATGAGTCATCAATGCCGATGATTTCAACAAGTACCTTTAGTGCCAACTGAGCTCTTTCAAAGTTTTTTTATCAATCCATAAATGCAGAAAACGTCGCAACAACTCGTGCCGATAAAATACGAAATATACGT